TCAGGTAATAAACTGACAAAATCAATTTGGGAATGATAATGTTAGCAGGATTAATGGAAGACACGGCTTCATGATTTATTTTGTCCAGTGAGTTGAGAATAGGAAAGACACATGACAGGTCTAAACTCCCCCACCCCTGTAGTTTCTCAAAATTCTTTTCCCATTCTGTGCTGATTATCATTCCCTCATTTAATCAACATGCATTTATTTAATCCTGCTACAAATCAGGCCCAATGAAATCACTAAGCACCAAGCTGTCTCTCAAGACAGGTGATATGTATTGGAAGCCACTGCCTTTCTGCCCAGTACTAATTTTGCCTTCTTCCAAAGTGTCCCAGTCTTCTGATTGTGCCTCTTTGTAGATCATCTTCCTCCTCCACTGTTCCTCCATCTTCTCCTCCACTTAATTCTTTTTGTTTCCCTCTTTCATTCCCTTTTTTCCCCTAGACATTTGTTAAGTGACTTAACAAAAATCACTATAAACTTCCTCTTCCAGAGGGTTCATGGTATAAATGGAGACAGACATGTCAAGTCCCAAATTATGAGAAATATTATGTGAAATTCACAGCTTAAATGTCTAAAAATTAGAAACTAAATGGTAATCAACACTACACTGAAAGTCTGTCTTAGCCTGATCTGAATGGTTAATTCACTACACTCTGGAATGATTAAGAATACATAAAAGCAATGGATGATGATAAGGATTCGGAAACAAAAGGAATCCTGACACACTGCTGGTGAGAACATGTACTAGTACAGCCACCACTGAAATCAGCATGGAGGGCCCATAAGAATTCAAAATAAAAAGACCATATAATTCAGATACACTACTTGGCATATGCCTGAAGGAATTAAAGTCGGCATGCTCTATGTTTATCACAGAACGATTCTCAGCAGTGAAGTTATGAAGTCAGCCAAAGTGTTGTGAAGAGGAGAAAGAAAATGGATACATACACTGGAGCGATGTTCAACTACAAAAAAGGATAAACTAATGTCATATGCTGGCAACTGGGTGGAATTGGTGGTCACTGTGTTGGATGAAATAAGCTAAACTGAGAAGGAAAAATATTACATGTTCTTCCTCCTATATGGAATTTAAGGAAAAAAAGAACATGAAAAAGAAGGGGATGGGGAAGGAGGAAGAAAAGGTGACATGGCAAAGAGGGGATGGATGTATACTGTCACAGTATCACACATGCATGTAAAATACACAGTGCTGCCTCAGTTCATAAACAATTTGCTCCATGATTCTGGTCACGAACTACATTGGTCATGAGCTGAGTCAAATGTCCTCATAAAGTTCTGTGTACATAAGGTCAATGCACTCTGAAGCATGTATTAACTATAAAATATGAAACAAAGCATAGTACAGTACACTAGGAGAACAGAGAACACTACAACTTCTGGTATGGAGGGCAGGAATGTGGGTGAGGAGGAGGGTGTTGTTTGGTGGGAGGGTCCTGTCTAAAAGGACAGCAGAGACATGTCCTTCAGGGGTCTCCTCTCCTCTTTGTTTCATAGCTGCAGGGTCCATTTTGATGAAAAATTTGCCTGATGTCACTTGTTTTTTCTCCTGTGTTGCATAACCCTCTAGAAATGAGGCCACCTTCTCATTTATCAGGTTCATCACTCTGTCATTGCAGTTGTGTTGGGGTGGTGCACTCGTCCCATCTTTCCATAGCGGGCTTACTCCATCACTGCTCACCTCTTCCCTGTCCTCCTCCTCCTCCTCAGTGGATGCTCCTCAGGTGCCTTCTGCTGCTCAAGTCCAGCAGGTTCACCCGTCATGAGCTTCTCCTAGTGGTCCTCAGCAAGCTGTTCTGTGTCTGCCCCATCCACCTCCAGACCCATGCTGCTCTTGTCCACAGACACAATGTCCTTCATTGCCTGTGCTTCAGACTCTTCAAGGTCAAGTTCAATGACATCCTGGCCATAGTTTCCTCCAGCCCAAATTTTAGATCTATAGCACGACATCTTCCCATGCTTTGTCTGTGAGTCTGATGCAGTGGAGGACAATGAAATATTTCTTCCTGAACCTTTTCAGAGTTAAGGACATCCCTTCAGTGATATTAAAACACCTGGTAAAGAGCACCTTTGTGTACAGCTTCTTGAATTGCGGAGCACGCACTGGTCCATGAGTTGCAGGAGTGGTGGGGGGAGGAACTTAACCCTTACAACATCATGCTCAGAGTCCATATCATCCACTGAGGCTGGAGGGTGTGCCAGGGCTCTGGCCATCCGAAGGGAGCTCCTTTTAGGCAGTTGTTTGCTGCCAGATATTTCTTAACAGTGGGTGTGAACATCTTGTGCAGCCATCGCATGAACAACTGGCTGCACCTCAAGCTTTCACACTGGCTCTCCATGTGACAGGCAGTCTGGCCTTCTCCACATTCTGTTCTCTGAATGTATGAGGGGTCTGGAAATGGAGAATCAGCAGTGACTTGATCTTCAGATAGGTGCTTGAGTTCATACGGAGCGAAAGGCATCAGTCTGTCCTTCAGGCCTGTGCCTGGCAGTGCCCTTTCCTCCTGTGTCATATAGGCTCTGTCCAGCATCTGCTCTCAGAAAAGCCCTGTTTCCCTTTAGCTGGACACTTGTTGAAAGATGTATCCTTCTGTTCATGAAATCTGTGAATTTTCTTGTACACTTCTGCAGCACCCTCAACAGAAGTGGAAGATTCATCAGGACTCAGGACTCATCACATGGTGGATGACACATCTCTTGAAATATCTGTCCATCTATCTATCATCTATCTATCTATCTATCTATCTATCTATCTATCTATCTATCTATCATCTTTTTGAGACAAGATTTCACTATGCAGTTCAGGTTGAGCTTGAACTCACTTTATAGCCCAGGCTGGACTAAACTCACAGGAAACTTCCTGCCTCGGCCTCCCAAGTGCTGTGATTACAGATGTGCACCACCATGCCCATCCTCTTGTGGGATTCATCAAGCCACCATCTACTGGTTTGAGTTCATCTCTTGTTGCACTATTTGTAAGAAGGCTTTCATTTCAGTAGATCACCACGCACTTTCCTGGCTTTTTCACAGATGATAGCTTCACTACACTCTCACCTGCCAGCTATTTCTCATCATCCGGACTAATTGTGTCCTGTTTGGTTAGCATTCTTTCTCCTTTTTCCACATTAACTCCTTTGATGACATCTTTGTTTTTTCTTTCTTCTTGCTATAATCCTTTTTACAGTTTATAAAAAAATCATTAGAAACAATACAAGTTCATTAAACAAGATGGTAGGAATTCAACAATGGTTGTTTTTACTGCATATTGTCTTCCAGTTAGTTGTTCAGATTACCAGATATAAGCATGCATAATTGTTAAACAAATTAAAAAGAAGAAGAAATTTAAACATTAACTGCTCCTTTCAATAGACCAGCAGAAGTCAGCATTAAAATTATCCAGGCTATCCTGTGTGTATACATATTTTTGCTTTCTTTCTTTGTTCTCTCTCTCTCTCTCTCTCTCTCTCTCTCTCTCTCTCTCTCTCTCCTTTCCTTTGCCCCAGTTGTCCTTCCCTTTGAGCAGTTTCTTTCACTTTCACAGATAGTCTCTAATAAACAGTGTGGGAAAGATTGGCTTGCTACATGCTAAAGGCTAAAATTAGATCCATGTTTATCACCATGCACTAAACTAAAATAAAAATGGATTAAAAATTTAAATGTTGAAACAGGAGCACTAGAGCCAGTGGCCAGGTCCTGTGCCCCACCAGAACTTCCCACCTCCAGCCAACAGTCAAGCCTGGTGTGGAACCCTGTAGTGGAACGCCTGGCAGAGTGGCTAGGAGTGTGATCTAGCCAACTAATACAGAAGCAGAACAGCTTGCCAGTGGGGCACAGTGGGGTCACTTCCCTGGGCTGCAACAGGAAGAAGACAAGCACAGCAGCTAGACCAAAGCCAGGTCAAGCTGGATGAGGTAGAACTTGGTAGATCCGAACATGGTAAGCTGAGACAAACTGCTAGACCCAGATCTATGAAAGCATCCTCTCTCTCTCCCTGGGGAAACAGGTAACATGGGTGAAAGTTTGCCTGGAAGTCTCCAGGTATATCAAAGGGAGGTGACCAGGTAGATTTAAATGCAAACTTCCAACTTTATATCTGCTTAGCTACACAGTCATGATGCTGACCTTATGGGTCTAAAATCAAACTCATTAATTACAAAAGGTTGTCAAGTGCTAAATCTCACTACCCATTATTAGTTATTTATTATTATTTTTTCTGTATTTTAGGGAAGGGTCTACAGGGTGTTCAGGGTCTCACTACTAGATCAGACGCATAGTAATTCTGCTGTTTACAGCCACCCAAGTGCTAGGATTACAGACGTGTGCCATCATACTCAGTATCAATTTCTGTCTCAGCATGCAAACACTTTAATCACCTGAGCTATTTGTACAGCCCTCCCAACTACCCATTAATAGTGATAGCAATTGTAATACCATAAATACAAAACTTCAAACAGCCTTAACTGCATAAGCTCCCTTGGGTAATAATAGTGGTAGGCGCTAAGGTAACTACTACACCAAGGCTCTACACCAAAGATCAGAAGACAGAGCTACACAAAATGACAAAGAGATGGAGCAAAATTCAGTCCCAGGCCCTGAGCCGTACCATGACAAATGCAGGAGATACTAGCATAGAAGAAATTGGAATCCACACTCTTGAAATCTCTGAAATAATAGTGCTTGAAGCAAAAAAACAACTGCAGAAAGGAATAGAAGATATCATCTCAGAAATAATCATTGAAGTAAAAAAAGAAATGATAACTATAATGAAAGAATTCCTAAGTGCTTCTAAAGAAGACACTGATAAAAAATAGAGGAGAATAGAAAAATGATGGAATCCTTGAATGAGCAATATAGGAAAGAAACAGAATGCATGAAACAGATTCAGAGATATACAGGAAATTAAAACCTCCATCACAAGCTGACAAAACTGTTTCAATGAAAGTGAAGATAGAGTTTCAGATCTTTTTTTCCCTGAAGCCTGTATCCCCATTCACAATACAGACGAGGCACAAGCCTGAGCTGAGGTGTATATGGGGCAAATTTACTCTTCCTACTTTTTCTAAATGATCAGTGTAAAACATGGTAAGCAACAGGAGGCAAGAGTTTCAGATCTTGAAGACACCATTGCAGCTAGTGAAAAGGTAAGAAAGGATCTCTTAAAAATAACTAGGAAGCTGGAAAAAATAATTCAACATCTGCAAGATGATGCTAAGGTGAACAACGTAAGACTAATAAACATCAATGAGAAAGAAGGAGTCAATACAAATGATATGAAAAGAATATAGGCAGAAATAATAGCAGAAAAATTCCCAAGCATGGGGAAACAATCTGACATTCAGATAACCGAAGCATATAGAACTCCAAATAACATCAACCCAATTACAACCACACCCAGGCATATAATATTCAAAATCCAAGAAATCCAGCACAAGAACAATGTAATAAAACCACTAGAGCAAAGAAACAGATGACATTTAAAGAAAAACTGTGCATAATAATGGCAAATTTTTGTTCAGAAACAATCAAGTCAAGAAGAGCATGGAGCAAAGAACTTCAAGTCCTCCATGAAAACAAATTACAGCCCAGACTACTATACCCTGCAAACTCTGTTTCAAGCTTGATGAAGAAGTGAAATACTTCCACGACAAAGAACAACTGAAGAATTTCATGACAACAAAGTCAACCCTACACAGACTACTAAAAGATATTTTAGAAAGAGTCCAAAATGATCACAACACCACAAATGAGAATGGAAAGAACCCACTAAATAGGGCAAACAGTTAAACACAGGAGAACAAGGGGAATACAACAGTAGGAAATTAACATGTCAATCATAAGTCAATGCATCTCAATAATAATCATCAGTGTAAATGGACTCAATTTACCAAATAAAGGAAATAGACTGGCAGACTGGTTTAGGAAGCAAAATGCAGCAATATGTTGTATAAAAGAATCACACATAACTCATGAAGAAATTCATAGGCTGAAAGTCAAAGGATGGCAAATGATAGTACATGCCCCAGCGTCTCAGAAAAAAGCAGGGGTAGCATTCCTGTTCTCAAACAGTCTCAAGTTCAAACCAAGAATGATCAAATGAAATAAAGAAGGCCACCACATACTGGTTAGGGGAGAAATACAAGAGGAAGATGTAATAGTCATAAATACATACACACCAAACACAGGATCACCCGTCTATGAGACAAATCCTAATGGACATGAAAAGTCTAATATCCGATACCACAATCTTAACAGGAGACCTTACACACCCTTATACCAAAAAGATAGGTCAAGGAGACAAAAAAATCAGCAAAGAAGTAGGGGAACTGAACCAGAATGTGGAACAAATGGACTTAGTGGACATATATAGAGTGTTCCACTCAACCACAGCACATTCTTTTAAGCTGCCCATGGGAAATTTTCTAAAATAGACCACATACTAGCCCATAGGTCATGCTTAAGTATATGCAAAACCCAGAAATTAACTCATGCATATTATCTGATTACAGTACAATGAAATTGGAAATAAATGACAAAAGAAACCACAAAAACCCATAAGCACATGGAAATTAAACAACACCCTCCTCAGCAACCAATCGGTTACAGATGAAATTAAAGAAATTAAACCATATCTGCAATTCAGTGAAATTTCAAGCACAATTTATGGGAATTTATGGGATGAAATGAAAGCAATTCTTAGTGGAAAATTTATAGTTGTGAATTCACACATTAGGAAAACAGAATGGGAACAAAGAAATACCCTAATGCTGCAACTCAAACGTCTAGCAAAAAGAAGAGCAAACCAAACCCAAAGCCCAAAGGCGGGAGGAAATTATAAAGATTAGAGTAAAATTAATGCTATCAAGACAAAGAAAACAATACAAAGAATTAACGAATCAAAAAGCTGGTTCTAAGTGATAGATGATGTAGAGTGTGCCTAAGGAGAGTCACATGGAGAGGAAACATTCTCTCAGGCTTTCACAGAGAGCAAATTCGTCAAGCAATGGCTGTGACTCATCTACATGTCTGACTCTGATAAAGGATCTACAAACTGCGGTACAGGGTTTCAGGATAAATATTGAGGGGATTAGACTGACCTTATCAGATACAAAAAAGCTACATTTCTTGTTATATAGGTCTCGCTTTATCTAGGTGTTAACCATCCAGCAGAAAAGTTTAAAAACGAGATATAAAAAGTAAAGCCATATTTATATGCTGAGCTGTAAAAGGCTCAAGTCAACGACTTCTGACATTGCCAGTCTTATGGAAAACTCAGTACTATTATGGACTACTGGTCTATATTGGAATATTTTGATGAATTCAAGCATCTATAATATTTAAATTACAGTGGAATACCCTTCTCTGACAAAACTAAACAAAAACAGAGGATACAAATGAACAAGCATTTTGTATCTGTATATACAAAATAGTTAGGATAGATATGCAGCTACTTTCTCTTAATTTAATGAATAGAAAGATTTGTACTAATAGTGTTTGTGGACATGATATCATGTCTGCATCTTGTACAGTGAATAACCATTAAGACAATGAAATGCAATGTATTAATTATTGAAAGTGTCCTACTAATCATTTTTGAAAGTCTCATTGCTATTTGCTTTTCAATAAAACTATTTAAAAAACTTGGTTGTTTGAATGATTTTGAAATAAAATTGGTAAGCCCCTAGCTAAACTCATTAAAGAGAAGAAAGAAAAACCCCTGAAAGTTAAGCAATAAGGAATAAAAAGGGTAAAATTACCACAGACCCTGTGGAAATTCAGAAGATCATCAATAACTATTTTGAGAATCTGTATTCTAACAGAATTGAAGACACAGAAGCAATGGCCAGATTCCTAGAAAGGTACAAATTGCCAAAACTGTATCAAGAAGATATAAGAACTCTCAATAACCTAATAACAGCCAATGAAATACAAAATGATTTAAAAACCCTACTGAAAAAGAAAAGCCCAGGTCCTGATGGATTCACAGCTAAATTCTCCAAGACATTTACAGATGATATAATCCCAATATGCATCAAACTCTTCAATGAAATTGAATAGGAAAAAATTCTCCCAAAACAATTCCTGGAGGCAAGTGTTATAGTTATACCAAAAGCAGAGAAAGATACAGCTAAAAAAGAGAACTATAGGCACATCTCTCTCATGAACATATATGTGAAAATCCTCATTAAAATCCTAGCAAATAGAATACAGCAGATCATCAAGAAGATTATACACAATGACCAGGTAGGATTCATCCCAGGGATACAAGGATGGTTCAACATATGCAAATTTATAAATGTAATACACTGTATTAATGGAGCTGAATGCAAAAACCTCATCATCATCTAATTGATGCAGAAAAGTCTTTTGACAAAGTCTAACACTCATTCATGTTCAAAGTCCTACAGAAAATTGGACTAGATGGTCTCTACCTCAAACTGATAGGATCCATTTATGAAAATTCTGCTACTAACATAATTCTAAATAGGCTAAAACTGAAAGCCTTTAGTCTCAGATCAGGTACAAATAAGGATGTCCTGTATCACCACTGATATTCAATATAGTTGTGGAACCAGGAACTAGAGCCATTAGACAAGAGAGTGAAATAAATGGAATAAGAATAGGTAAAGAAGAAGTTAAACTATCTTTATTTGCAGATGATATGATACTTTACTTGGAAGACGAAAAAACTCCACTAAGAATCTCTTAGAATTAATAAAAAAATTCAGTAGCATAGAACGATACAAAGTCAATACCCAAAAGTCAATAACATTCCTCTACACAGATAACAAACACACTGAGAAGGAAATTAGAGAAACAATACCTTTTGCAATAGCATCATGGAAAATTAAATATTTAGGAATTGATCTCACTAAAGAAGTAAAAGATCTCTTCAATGAAAATTTCAGTACTCTGCAAAAAGAAATTGTAGAGGATTTCTGAAAATGGAAAGATATTCTCTGCTCCTGGATAGGAAGAATTGTGAAGATGGCCATACTCCCAAAATTTCTGTACAGATTTAATGAAATCCCTATCAAAATAGCATTCCTGGAAATTTATTTGGAACAAGAAAAGACCTAGAATGGCAGAGGCAATCCTGGACAAAAAAGACAAGGCAGGAGGCACTATAATTCCTTACTTGAAATTATACTACAGGGTACAGTGGATAAAATCAGCACGGCATTAGCAATAAAATAGACCTGAGGATCAATGGAATAGATTTAAAGATGCAACTGCAAACACATTCAGCCATCTTATCTTTGAGAACGGGGCCAAACATATTTACTGGAAGAAAGATAGTCTCTTTAACAAATGGTGCTGGGAAAACTGGCTCTCCACACGATGAAAACTAAAACTTGACCCAGGTCTGTCACCATGCACTAAACTAGAGTCAAAATGAAATAAAGATCTAAACATTAAAACAGAAACACTAAATCTTCTGGAAGAGAAAATAGGAGGTAACCTTGAAAATATATCGGTAGGCAAACAGTTCACAAAGAAAAATCAACTGCATGGGTAATACTTGAGAGAAGTAACAACTGAGACCTCCTCTTATTGAGAAGTTTTTGCACATCAAAAGAAATTACTAACAGAGTGAAAAGACAACCCATAATTTTGGAAAAATTGTTAACTAATAAGCACTCAGAGAAAGGTCTTCTCTCTAGAATTTATAAAGAACTACAAACATTAGGGTCACAAAATTTTAAGACCCGATCCAGAAATGGGCATCTGAGATGAACACACACTTCTCAGAGGAAGAAATAAGAAGCAAATAAATACAGGAGAAAATGCTCCATATCACTAGCCATTTGTGAAATGCAAATTAATACAACACCGAGATACCATCTCACTCACAAAGCATGGCTATCATTAAGAAATCAACCAGCAACACGTGGTGAAGAGGCTGGGGGATAAAAGGAACACTTTTTCACTGCTTATGGGAATGTACATTGGTGCAACCATTATGGAGATCAGTGTGGAGACTCCTTAAAAAACTAGGACTGGAAATCCCATTCAAACCAGCTATCCCCCTACTGGGAATTTTCCCGGAGGATCTGAAAACATCATATCATAGTGATATATGTGTACCTATGTTTATAGC